CTTTTAATACTTCCTGGATCATTTAATAGTCTGCCCAAAGCATCCTTTAAGTACTGCAACTCGAGGTTTGAATTTGTTCTTCAGTTCCACTACCCCGAAAACTAGCAGTTTGGACACACCCCGTGGCGTCAAATCAGGCCTGGCAATCTGCTTCCGTCAAGGTTACTGCCAAGGAGACTGAATGGAGCGGTAGTCATGAGGCAGTTGGAATTGACCGAACATCAGGTTTTGGTCTTGATTTTTTGTTATAGTCTGGTGAGAGTTTACAGAGCAAATTCATTTCCCATACACAAATCATACATGTTTGGTCTCCTGGTGTTGGTTGCAATCCTCTCCATGTCCCTGAACTCCTCCCTGGTTCTCTATTTCCACTTGTCCTTTTTCCTGCTCCTTCCTGCCTTCTGAACTTTGTGAGTTGTTGGGGTTTTTTTTTAGGGGTGTTTGTTTTGGTTTTGTTGCTTGGGGTTTTTTTCTTTGCAAATGTTGGCCTTTGGACTCGTACCGTTGATCATACTGAGGAGAACATTTCCTCCTATGTTGTCAGTCACTTTATAAGCCTATCTGTTGTTTGGCTGATAATTGATCTCTGATAGGGTCATTTCAGTGCCAGCTTTTACCCTGGATGAGATGCGTTGACTGTAGCAATGGGGGCAGGCGCATCGGAGTCAGTGAGACTGGCTCAGGATAGGGCAGGGTTCAGAGCCTTTGCTGACAGGGTCTCCATGAATCATAGTCAACTCGATGGCACATAACAACATGGGCCAAAGTCTTGAGGTCTCCACCAGACCTGTAAGTCTGGTCTTTTTGATGATTTTCATTTTGTTCTTTTCCCCTTCTTCCTCTCTATCCCGAGCACAGCAGTCAGCAGTAACAGTGGGGCAGCATCTATTTCTGGTCTCCAGGGATTAGATCAAGTGATTTATTAATCACTTTAGACTCATTGTTTCATTGGGCATTTTATTAATTTTTTTTCACTCTTCTCCAGAGAAGGAGAGACCAATTGAATATTTGTATCTTAGATGATCGATAACTTTTTTAAATCTTTTTTCTTATGGATAACTTTTAAGACTCTACTCTCTTCTTACCTAAATTGGATGTAGGACATTGTCTTTGTGGATTATATTATGCCAGTTGACCTAGACGTTCATCTAGATTATGGTCTGGAGCCCTCACACCTAGTAAGTCCTCGAGGTTTTAGTGCGTGGCTAAGAAGTTTTGAGAACTTAGCCCCAGTAATGGATTTGTTTCATTATTTGTGCAGGTTAACTCCAGCATTAGAGAAAAACAACAGAGAGAACAGAAGGGTCTTTACCTTTGTGCGTGCTAAATGCTTTGCAGAAAAATTAATCAGGAAAGAGGCCACTGTGTTGAAGAGGATGAGAAAGGAAAGTCCCACTGAGAGGTGGCATTTGATCAAAGAACCTAAAAGGAGGGGGCAGTAGGGAGGGACTATGTGATTGTGGGGAGCTGCCTCCAGAAAGAATGTTTACTAAAGAATTAGCCCGCCACTTCATGTTTTAACCCAGTATCTCAGAATATGTCAGAAACGTACTCTGTTTTCATGCAGAATAGTCACACCACTGTGTAGGATCTGAGACTCAGAGCAGGGGCGGCTGGCCTCTTGGTGTTTTGATTATACTCCTGTGTAACGAGTTAGCTTAAACGTGTTAGCCTAAAACAACCGGTTTATCACACCTCGTGATACTAAGGGTCAAGAGGTTAAGCAGGCTTTGACAGGGGGAGTGGTCCATTCCATACGGTGTTTATGGAGGTTGTTTATGGAGGTTGCTCAGTGAGACTGGGTTAACTGGTGGACTGGTCTAGAGGGACGAAGATGATTTCTCTCACATGTGTGACATTTCAGCAGCAGTAGCCAGGAGGCTGACCTATGTGTGTCCTCTCCAACATGATGGCCTCACGGGAGGCAGACTTCTACACGACACCTCAGGTTGTGTATCTGAAGAGAAACAAGTAAGTCAAAGGAGAGGAAAAGGGGAGCTGCCAGCCTCTTAAGACTTAAACCCAGAAGCTGACACAGCACCACCTGCACTGGACTCTTACTAGTAAAGCAAACACAGATTCAAACACTCAGATTCAAGGAGAGTCTGTGTATAGCTCCCTGTTTTGATGAGAGGAGCCTGAAAGTCACCACTGTTATTCTAGCTATCTTAGATGACAGCTGTTCAACCTTTGGGACTTGATTTTCTTTGTCCAACTCCGCAGGTGTCCTGGAGACCTCCCCTTTAGTTCCTCTATTGTTCTTTCTGGCCTCAACAGCTATCACACAGGTCATGCAAATGCTAGTAGCAAAGCGCTCAAGCTGAGAGCTGTATCCGTCACCAAGTAAACAAACCTGAATGTAAACACACATGGTCTATGGCCACGGGGAGCTTAGAGGCCACAGGTGGGAATCAGAAGCTTGGCAAGCACAAAATGATGTTGAATTACAGATTGTGACGAGTGCTGTGAAGGAACAGGACGGCATGACCCATCATAATGGGGCCCAGTCCTGTCCGAAGCCAGTGTTTAGCCTTTGCCATATTGTCCCATCATCCTGTGCAACGGGGCTACGTCAGCAGTCACCACAGTGTCTTCTAGAGAGAGTAGATACTTCAACCCAGCTTGTGTTTTGATTCTGACGTGCAGAAAATGTCAAATGTTAAGCATCAGATGTGTTTGGCGATAATGTCTTCCTTTCCAGAAGGTGAAGAATCTGGAGAAAAGCGAGACGTAGAGACTCAGGCAGAGGGAGGCTCTGCTGGAGCAGGAGCAGCTGGACCGATCCAGGAGACGAGCTGGGTGAGGACAGGCCAATGACGCAGACACAGTGCCTGACCACCGCACACCAGGGAATCCCAGTGGCAGCCATATGCTTTCAGACACGCCCCCGTGGGCCATAGACCAGGAGGAAGTGCCAGCTCTGAAGAGGAGGCCTGGTGAGACTCCTCAGGATGTGGACTCCTCCAGGGCTGGAGTCTGGCAAAGACCTCCAGGCCATACAGTTTAGGGACTGGGGTCCTAAGACTTGCAGCCCAGCTCTAGGAAACATGAATGAACCAGCTTGAATACCCAACCCTACAGACCAGGCCAAAACAGAAGGTCCAGTCTTTGGAGAATGATGTCGTGCTTGGAAAGGTAGAGGAGCAGCACAGGCGAGGAACACCCTGATGAGATGGATTGGCACAGTGACTGTGGCAATGCGGGCAGGGGTGTCAGAGACCATGAGGTTGGCTCAGGATAAGGCAGGGCTCAGAGCTATTGTGCAGAGGGTCACTATGAGTCATATTTGACTTGATGGCACGTAACAACAATAACCACAATGTGTGCTTAAGAAGAGGGCAAGGTTGAGGAAGGAAGCTATAGCAGAATCCAGTGCGTTTGTGTCCCCCCTTTTAGAAGTGAAATCACAGCAATTCACCGTGCGTGGAGGGCTGGGGGCTGGAATTCCCAGTGCACTGGGGGCGTCTTCTAGAGCAAGTGGCAAAACCAGGCGTCGCTTGCAATACTGCTCTAGTAATCCTCATTGTAAACTCTATTTGATTAGGGAAACTCTGGGAAGTAAATATCATCAGAGAAGGGGGAAAGCACCCCCAACTAAGCCCAAAAAAACCAAAACTAGTCACCCATAGTGGTTTTAACATATTTGAAAATTTTATTTCTTTAGCTACGTTTCTTCTCCTTCACACTCTTATTTAATCTTCAATCACATACATTTACAATATGGAGACAGGGAAAGGAAAGTGGCATGCAAGAAAATTTTTTATGGTCTGTTTTTTTTTTAAAAAAATGGTTTTCATTCAATCACTGAACACATCTCACTTCAGAAAAGTACCATTGTATATGCCATTAATTATAACGTCCTTTCTCTTCTCCTTCCTCATTCATTTGTTAATCTCTACTCCATAGAGATATTTTTAAATATCCTTTTTAAAAGTCTCTTTCCAACTATGTGAAATATCTTCAAATATTATCAGTTTTCCTAAGTAGCTAAAAGAAAGACACCAAGCAAAAGTGAATTTTATTACTTTTCCCCCTAGCCTAATCTTGAATTTGAAAGCTTTTGAAAAGGTTAGCATGTCAAGACAAGGAAGAAGTGTGGAGGTTCAAATACTTGAAGCCCCTGCAGAAGAAGTGACCCAGCAGAATCAACCCATTTTAAAAGAGAGCAGACAGAGTGGACCAACAAAAGTGTATCCTGGTGGAACGAGTTCCCTCCCACCAACCAGATCTTCAGTCCCTCCCCGCATGCGCTGTGAGACTCAGGGGCCAGACAGGAAGGAAGGGACAAGCTGAACTCCCATCCAGATCTACCCAGTGTGGGACCACAGACCCTTGAGCAGGACACAGAAAGAGGCTGGAAGCCAATGGGATCAGGTGACTTGGGGGATGCAGTCACTTGTCCAGCAGTTCTTGGAGCGGTCCGGCAGACAGTTTCAAAGCAGGAACAAAGACCTTCAGCGGCTCAGAACTGACCGAGAACAGCAAAGGGGAATTCTCTCTGAGACAGGAGAGATCCTGGATCAAGAATCCATAAGACCTGGAGTTCCTAGGGCCCCGAACTGGGGTAGAAATTCTCCAAAGATGGAGGTTTCCATGGAAATGTCTGCTGATGTGGAATGTGACAGAGGTCTGTGCTCTTGGGTTCCCTCTAAGGAGATGGTGGCGAGATGAAGTCACAGCCTTCTCAGTGCCTCTAGGTGGCAGTGCTCAGGCTAGGGCCACTGCCGGGGCAGCCTGTGGTGATTGCTGTCCATAGTCCCTCCTTGGAAATCACAGATGGCTAGCGTCAAGAATCAGGCAACAGTCTCTTGGGATGACCAGCCAGCTTTGAAAATTCTAGTCGAGACAAAGGATGTTGTTCACTTGCACCCCTCTCTGAGTTGGTTTTCTCTTTCTCATTTCCCTCTTCTTCTTCAGTTTCTCTCCGGGCCCTCACTGGAGAAGCTGTCCCCTTGTTTCTCCTCACTTCCAAAAGGACCATCCAACTCAGAGACGGCCCCTCAGAGGGAGAGAGCCCCAGACGTCGTCTCAAGCAACAGAGATGACAGCTTCAAGCTCCCCTGTCTCCTCACGAACGAGACCCACTGAGCCTGGCTGATGCACCCCAAGTTCCTCAGGGTTTTCACGAGGTCCCGGCGAAATCTCTGCCCTATGAACACATACAGAATCGGGTTCAGGCAGCTGTGGGAGAAGGCGATCATTTGAGTGATTTGGAGGCAGATGTCGATGCTGGTGGAAACGGGGCAGCTGGCGATGAGCGTGAGGAAGGCGTCGATGGTCTTCACCAGCAGGACGCTGTTGTAGGGGAGCTGAGACAGGACGAAGGTGGTAAGGACGGTGACGGTCACCTTCAGGGCCCTGTGCTTGCATGACTTCTTACCTTGCACCAGGATGTGGATGATGATGGTGTAACAACAAGCAATGACCACAAGGGGCACAAAGAACCCCACGATGATGTTCAAGGTCAAGACCACGGACTTCACCTTGGTGCTCCGGTTGCTGGGGTAAACCATAGTGCAGATGGTGCCTTCCGGCCCCTCCCTGACTTGGCTGTACAGCACTTCTGGGATGCTGAGCACGCTTGCAATCGTCCAGATGACGACACAGACCAGCTTGCTGTGGTGAAGCCGCTTGGGCCTCCAGCTCCGGGCTTTCATGGCCCGGGCGATGACGATGTAGCGGTCCACGCTGATGCACATGATAAGCAGCATGCAGCTGTAGAAGTTCATCTTGTACATGCTGTTGACCATCTTGCACATGAAACACGGCAGTTTCCACTGGTCTGCAACAGCCACGGCCCAGAAGGGGAATGTGGCGAGAAAGAGAAGGTCGGCAATTGCCAAGTTCAAGAAGAACATGTCGGTCATGGTCTTCTTTCGGGAGCAGTACCAGTAGACGAGGATGACCAAACTGTTCCCCAGGGTGCCAACGATGAACACCGACCAGTACAAGGGCGGAAGGATGTGTCTCGCAAACTGCCGGACGTTGTTTTTCTTGCAGAATACATCGGTGATGTTGAAGTTTAAGTAGTCTTCCTCGGAAGTCATGGATTCATAGTTGATGTACTCATCAGATATATTAAGGTTCATGTTCTGCAAGGAAGCACAGGTTCTCATTAGGCCAAGGGCAAGCTTTTAGAGGCTCTGTCTGATACAGAGGCATGGCCACTAAATCCTACCAACCCCAAAAGTCTGGGATAAGAAGAAGAAGAAGAAGAAAAACAAATAGTATATGTAAGAAGTAGGAATTTTGGCAGCATATACTTGGGTTGTTGTTTACTGTCCAGTCAGAACTGGCCCATAGTTGGTCCTCCAAGAGGCTTTCAGAAGCCACTAATCCTGTAAAGCAGATGGTGGCCTTGAACCACATGGCATAGGACAGAGCAGGGTTTAGGGCTGTTGTATATAGGGTCGCTGTGAGTCGCAAACGACTCGATGGCACATAACAGCAACAACAACATACTTGGGTTTGGGTTGAATCTTTACTTATTCAACAAATGTTTTTAGTATCTTTTATGTGTCAGATACTGTACTAAGTGCTAAAGATCAGTGATGTCCCTATCACAACCCCATGGACCTTCTCCCCTACCAGACCACACAGAATCCTTATCCTTTGTAATGTCAGCTATTAATCCTAACCATAGAATGTTGTTATTATTATTGTTAAGTGTCATCAAGTCACAGACAACTCATAGCTGACTCTTCAGTAGGTTTTCAGAGGCTGTAAATCACATGAGAGGTGATTGCTTGTCCACTCTTCTCCCCCAGAGCAACTGGTGGATTGGAACATCTGGCCTTTGGTGGCACAACCCACTAGGCCACCGGAGCTCCCTAACCATAGAACGAGATAAGTATCATTGTAAATGACTTAAATGCAATATTTGCTAAATTATATGAATAATAGCAAAACTGTTTTATAAAATCTTTTTACACTGAATTGCAACATTATTAGTAACTGAGCATTAGAAGCATTTGTTCGTGTTTCTCCTTTAATTACTACTTCATTCTCAAATGAGTTCATGATACAGGCTTAAAAATACAACCCACAGAATGATGGCTGAGACATTTGACCAAATCAATGAAATAAAATTTGGCAAAACCAGCAGCTGTTAAAACAGCATCAGAAAAGGCAGTACGTGCTTGTAATGCAATCAGAGGAAGCCAAGTGGTCAGAAACAGTCACTGGGTAAGAATGAATAAAGTGTTATGAATGAAGTGCATTAGAATGGATTAATAACGGGGTTGTACAATTTGAGGGGGAGGTAAGGGAAATTAGAAGAAGCTGGTCTGAAAAACAGTGTATTTGAATTTTGTAAATAAATTAGTAGAATTAAAAATTAAATATTTTTTAATGAAATAATATTTTTAAAAATAAATCTGCAGTGACACAGAGGGCAGCCACCAAGGGCTTGAGCAATTTAGGAAAGCTGGATATATAACTTTACAACAGAATATGGACCTAAACATTCAGAAGCACCCCTTTTGTAAGATTTTTTTTAATGTAATGACTGGAGTTAGTTACTAGTTACAGTTACTAGTCACGATGGAATGGTGGCCCCAAGAGCTAGCCAAATGGCAGAGTTCATATAACGTCCAAGTTGTCCTGCTAGAGAAAATGAGCTAAAGAAATATGAAAATAGGCCACTCTCTCAACACCTGAAGGACACTGTGATTGCAATTCATCAAAAAGAAAAGTCACCGGTCCTCTCCTCTACCCCGATTTTATTTAAGCCCTATTACCACCAAGCCAACAATCAGAAGATGTATTGCACTGGGAAAGCCTCGAGTCAAGGACCTCTCCAAATCACTGAGGAGCAATGATGTTAGTTTGGGGACTAAGGTGCTCCTGATTCAAGCCATGGGCTTCTCAATCATTTGCTATGCATCTGAGAATTGGACAATGCATAATAATGAAAGAAAAAGAATTGTGCCTTTGAGTTGTGGTAATGGAGAAGAGTACTGAATATCCCACGGACCACCAAAAGAACAAACAGGTATGTCTTAGAGAAGGTGCAGCCAGAGTGCTCCTTGGAGGCAAACATGACAAACCTTCATCTCACATACTTTGGGTGTGTTACTAAGAAAGGTCTTTCCTTGGAGAGGAACATCATGCTTGGAAAGAGAGGATTATCTTCAATGAGATGGATAGACAGAGTGACTGCAGCGATGGGCTCAAAGGGGTCAGAGGTTGTGAGGATGGCACAGGACAGGACAGGGCTCAAATCACAATGATCTCTCAGGGTCACTACGAGTCGTACTCTACTCAACAGCATCTAACAACAACAAACAACAACTGATGTGTTGTTTTCACTCAAGCCAGAGAGTTCTGACGGCAGAAGTCTGTACTTGGAATCCATGGGTTGCTTGACAGAGGGGAAAAAAATTAGCAATTTCCTCTCTTAAAGATTCACAGCAAGGGAAGCGCAAGGGATGCTGACTCAGAATCAATTCAACGGCTGTGGATTTGGTTTTGATTTGTGGCCTCGAGTTGCCTCCAACTCATAGTGACCCTGTCGGGAGAGAACTGTCCCGTTGAAGCTCCACGGCTGCAAAGCTTCATGGGAGCAGACTGCTTCATCCTTCTCTCATGGAGACGCTGGTGGCTTTGAACCACAACACTCAGCCCACCGCACCACCAGGGCTCCTCATTCCATCTACACAGTCTTCCTTTTCCACAGCAGTCTATTTTCTAGATACATCTTGCAGCCAGCAAAGTCCTAGAAAGCGAGCTCACGTGCTCCTAAGATCCTGTAAACACCCAAGATCCCAATTCCTTTTTCATCTGACACGTAGAAATTACGCTAAAAACAATCATCCTGCCAAGTGGAACATATGCCCACGTAGCTGAGCTCCCAAGGCGAAGAAAATGCTTTTCAATTGCTGCCCATCATAACTGGCGGGACACTTCTAACCCAACTGTGAAAAGAAACATCACACAATTACCTGGCCACCAGTCACATGACCAGAAGGTCCCTACCTTCTCCCACTTTCTCTCCCTGTAACATCCGCTCTGCTCTTTTCCGAACTTGACCTTTGGGGAACAATTCGGAGTTCTCCCCAAGTCTTCTCTCCCTGACTTGATTGAAGGAAGGAGTGTCTTCTTCCTTTCTCCTCTCCAAGCCTTTCCTGTACCATCCCCTGAGCACTGCCCTCCCCCCCAGCCCTTCCTTGCTCTTGGCCAGAACACATCAGGCAGGATTAGAAAGACTCTCTGGCCTTGCTCATTTAGTTTTGTAATCGCACTTCTTCACTCTCCAGCAGCCTGGGGCAGGGACAGGGCTTTCTCAGCCTTTCCACCCTCCGCCGTCATCAGCTGATGTGCTGTGTTCGCTCAGGTTTTGATGTGGTCACAAGAGTCACCAGGGTTCCCCAGAGCTGCCAGCTCTCAGAGTCCTTGGTGATTAAACGTGGAGAGAGACTGTGTGAAGATGCCAGTGAGCACACAAACTCCTACTAATGTTTTCTTTTCCTGCAATCGCTTTCTTTTTAAAAACGGAACATGTTTTACACAAACAAAAGTAAATCAGCAGACAGCTTTGGCCTTGGAGGTACATTGACACAGGTGAGCTTGGCTGATGAAAATATTTTTGTTGTTATAAAAAAAAATACGTTTCTGCTGAAGTACAGCACAAATATTTTCTAGACAATCACTTTGGTGTCACCCCTCTGGCAGTGTCACCTGGTGGAGTTCATACCCCCGCAGTCCCCTAGTGACATTCCTGCTTTAACTCAACGTTCTGCTGGTGGAGGCAACAGACAAGGAAGGAACACCTGGGCAGGAAAGAAGGCACTGGGGCCACGGCCGAGCACGTATTTCTATCAAGCCAAGTGGATGATTCCAGTCAGCACTTTATCCTCCCAAAACAGGTCATCAAAGCCTCTTGTACTTTTTCTGGGTCACAGACCTTTCTGAGTCTTGGCAAAGCTTTGCATCCTCTGCTCTGGAAGCAGAGCACACGTACATATACACATATATCCACAGACATTGTCTTTCTCTCTCTCTCCCCCTCTCCCTCCGTCTCCCTCCATCTCCCTCCCTCTCTCTCCCCCCCTCTCTCTCTCCCCCCTTCTCCCTCCATCTCCCTCCCTCTCTCTCTCTTTCTCTCTCACACACACACACACACACACACACACACACTCATGTATCACACACACATTCACACTGCATGTACACATACATTCACACACATGTGCCAGCCTGTCTACATAATTTGTAGAGCCCTTTGTTCAAAAATAACTAACAATGCCAAGTAAGCATTAAGTCAAATAAGTGGCACATTCACAAAACCAAGGTTGCCAAACACACCCAGCTTTGCACACCTATAACCCATACACATGTATACACACATCGGCTTGTGCACAAACATGCCTGCATTCCTGCTCACGTGTACATGTGCACACTCAGACACATATATGCACACATGTGGGTGCAGAGTTATACATTCACATTCTGCATCCATATACACACATGCAGACACACACACACACTCTCATACACGCGCACACCACCCCACACACACCCATTACAGCTTTCCTGGTTGCCTGGCCCTGGATCGGTTGGAGCTCCAGAGGCTGACCTAGAACTCCTACTGGGCTAAGAGGAAAAAAGAAAGCGAGATGAGAAGGCTGAGACACGAGCCTGAGCCTACAATCTGAGTCATCGCGGAGTTGGAGATGGAAGAAGAAGAAACAGAGGGACTGGGGTTTGAGTTAGTTCTGTGTCTTCCTTGTCCAAAACCGTCACTCATAGACCCTCACACACTTGCACTTCCCGCCAGCCATCCCCACCCACCCACCCACCCTCCAGAGCTCCCCCAGGGTCCCCAGTGTCTTCTTCCTCCCTTCCCTGGGGCGGGAGTGGGGGGTGGGGAGAGAGTCCTTTCCAAACGCTACCTCTGCTTTTGTTTTTCCTTAGGCCTATGTGGCAGTTAAAAAATTAATCCGCATTAATTTGAACTGAAAGCTACCCCGAATCCACACTAGGTCTGAATTTTGTTTATTTGTTTTAATACTATCAAGTGGTTAAGTACAGATATTTCGTTGTTGTTGCCGTTGTTGTAGTATACCACAGAATCAGTTGATTCTCCAGT